TGTTTAGATTTTATTTATTTCATTAGTATTTTAGTTAGTTTAGCTATTTAGAAAAAAGCATAGAGAGAAAAAGAAAGAGAAAAATGGAGAATGAGACCTCTAGACTTCGGGTACAAACGGAAAGAAACTAGACTTGTTAGCAAAGAGAGAGTGTCATCGTTGCAGTGATCGATGCATTCCTTATAAAGATTGATAAAAATTGTGGTCACCTAAATTGATACTTGATATGCGTGCGTACTTAGAATAAATTCGTCTTGAGTCTAGATGAATTAATCAAAATTTGACCGTGCCTCGTAACGCAGCAAAGTACAATTTATTTTTTTCCTCAGCTAACCTCTACTAACTAGTAGTAGCGGTAAATAAGGGTCGGTCCCACGATGAGAGTGAATCAAATTGTGAATTTTCTCGTATTAATTGATTTTATAAAAGCAATAAAAGAGGAGGGTGAGGAGAATTGTGATTTAATAGCTAAACTAATTAAAATCCTAATGAAACTAATAAAATCTAAACAATGAAAACAAAAAGAAAATTAAATAAATTAAGAAAATTTTTTAGTTCACAGATCCGTCTATGCCCTCGCTATACTAGTTTAACTAATTTTGACATCAAGTTTCACTATTTTCTGAAATTACCAGCTCTAGATAGCATCACGCTCTGCAACCTGAATTTTTCTTTACTGTTTATTTAACCGAGAGACGTTCTTCGATTAAACCTGACTTATTACAGTCTAGAACACGCTCTCTAGATATAAACAATAGCCACTTTAGGATCTAGAAAATTAGGCTAGTCTACGTTGTAAACACAACCGCGCGGTTCACTTAAATAGATTGTGTTATCCCCGACAGTTATCGGCTTTCGGTTGCTACTTGCGAATTAAACTCAACAACAATTACAGATTAAGGTATAACTCTAGCTATAGAGATGAAAAGCCTAATCTAGATGATCAATCTAAATAAGACTCGACAAATCTAAATTAATCAATAAAAATAACATGCACAATTCTAAAAAGATAACTTGATTATCAACCACGAATATTAATTAAATATCGTCAAATCGGAGGATTCGACTTCCCCGGAACTAGAAATAAAAGTACTTGCCATAATAAATACGAAATAAAAAGAGAAGAATAAAATTATCCTTCCCCTGTGCGGGTGCAAGTGCGGTCTCCCTCCGCAATTTGTTGGGTTCTCGCGTCTCTATCTCTCCTCTCTGTTGCGATGAATGTGTGTCTTCTTTTCTCCAAAAGTGTCTAGCGGCTGCCCCCTGTTTTCTCTTCCTCCAATTAAATTTTTAGGTCTGCTACGTGATTTTAAATTAATTGTAACTCTACCATACAAGTATAAATAATTGTGTCTCTACCTAAAAGACTTTATTTATCTATATTAATGTCTAAAGTCAGTTATCATATCCTTTCAACCTCCATCCCCTTTTTATGCTTGATTAAGAGAGAGAAATGAAAACATGCACATAATAAATAACTGACTTCTTTTAATTCCTTAATTCGCGCAGCTTGTATATTTTTATAGAGAGAGATAAAAACATGTATTGTAATTCACTCAACTGTCCAGTTGGGTATATATTGCATTTATGTTAGTATATATTCAGTATATGTTGCGACGAAAAACATGTCTTCCATAAAAGAATTATGTCTTCTTGTTTTTTTTTTAATTGAATATTTTTTAGTATATGTTGAGTTTACGTGTTGTTTAATTTACTTTTATGCTTTGTAAACAGTTTTACTAAAAAATAAACCATACATATATACAACAAATCAATAAAAGTAAAAAACATAAAAGTATATATATAGTTTATAAACATATTATAACATGTTACTTATATTCAGTAAATGTTGCAATAATCTTCTAATATTACTTATATTCAGTAAATGTTGCAATAATCTTCTAATACACCAAAACAACAAAAAACATCAGATTACTCCTTTGTCAAATTTGTTTTCAAAAAAGAAAAAAAAAATCTAATATACCAAACATAAACTATGGATAAACATTGAAAACAGAAAAAACAAACATCCATTCACAAACTAATTGTACATAACTAATATACCAAACATAAACTAAGATGTACAATAGTTTTACATACCTAAGATGTACATATACTATATATATACGATACATATACTGATCATAAACTAATTTGTATAATGAAAAAATCTAACAAAACATCGATTTCCCTACCGCAAGCTGTAAGCCACCAACAGAGGAGCAGCGAGGCACGCAGCCATCGCCGAGGATCTCCATCCATGAGTTACCGAACACGCGAGGCATGCAACCGCCGCGAACTGCCGCCGACGTTCGTTCACCACCCGTCATCGTCGCCCGCAAACAGCACCTGCTTGGGAGTCTGTTTATTGTGTCTTATTTTCGTGTGTTTTATGTGTTTTAGTTTGGCCTTTTTAGGTTTGTTTTAGTGTCATCCGGTCCATTTTATAGTGTTTCGTGTATTTTTCTTGTCTTTCTCTTTATTCTATTTTTGGGCGTACTTCTCTGTGCTTTTGGGTGTATTCTCAGGGTTATTTCCGAAGTTGATGAGAAGAACCGAACCGAGCTCCAAGAGACGAACATTTTCGATAGAATTCTGAAGAGTTTCGAGCCAATTCGTACGAGCAATCTCCATTCCGAGAAGTTCGAGCCAAATCGATCAAACATCCCCAAAAGATAGCCTTAGTCGTGCCCTCGAGCCAGCACCCGCGCCTCGCGAAGCATCCGTGCCCCGCGCCATCACCTTCGTCCGCGTGCGCGAAGTCTGCCGCGGGATCGAGAGTATCGGCCTTGCCCCGTCGTGCCCTCACCGTCCGCTCCGCGCGAAACAGCTCGCCAGCTCGAGAGTGTCCGCGCCCTCACGTCCGCGCGCGCGAGTTTACCCGCTAGGTCGCGAGTGTCCCGCTATCCTGTAGTCCGCGCGCGCGAGTTTCTCCGCCAGCTCGAGAGTAGTGGATTTCCTCCGTGCCACCTCGCGCCTACCTCGTGACTTGCCCGTGCCAGCCCAGGCCCGCGACCTGCGGAATTCCCGGCGAGCTCGAGAGTACATTTTAGTAATTGTGCGTGAAATTAGTGTGTGTTTTGAGTTGGTCTATAAATATATTTTGGTCCTTTGTAATTGGAACATCTAGATTTCATTTGTCACTTTTCCCACTTTGGGAATAACTATTTTCTTTTTAGTTTTCTCTCTTCTCTCTCTTGGGAGCTCTATGACATCATTTTCCGGCAAGTTTTCCGGCAAGTTTTATTTTGTTCAAGTTCCGAGCTTTTGACTCCGATTTTCGTCTAGCACGCAATAGAAGATTGGGTATTTACTTTTAAATCTCATTACTTCGATTTTTGCCTCGTTTTTACTTATGGAATTTTTCAAGGTGAATTTGAGTGTTTGTTTGATGATGGAGGATATGCTTGGACTTGATCATTGCTCATGTTTGTTCTAGTAGAGACTAATTGCTTGCCTATCTAGATTAAGGGTTAGGACTCTATTTAGGGCTTAATCACTTAGGTTAGAAGGTTAGGGTTAGTGATCTAGTGTTAGAGCTTGCATACTACTCGTTGTGATTCCGTTTGATCTTGATGGCTTAGAGACTCCGGTAGTGTTAATTGCGTGATTCTCTCGTTAATTGTCGTTTTTACTTCCTCGTGCAATTAGTGTTAATCCATCCCCAATCCAAATTGATTAGCATGTTTAGCTTTTATTTTCTCATTTTATGTGATTTGGACAATTGAGTGGTAAACGAAGCTCCGAACCGTCTTCCTTTGAGAACGACTCGAGGTCGGGTAGCTCGGTTACAAACTACCCTCAAAATACTACAAAACAGAGTCGCAAGCACCAGCAGCCAGAAGGCCTTCCGCATTTGAGTAGCCTTCGAGCAGCCCATCGCGAACACTTTTCTCCTGTTGAACCGGCGACGGCCCCGCATACGAACAGCGCCACGCCAGAGAGCCGTCCGAGATGCCACAAGTCTTAGCCGTACCACATTGAGGAAAGTTGCGATCCGCTGCAGCCCTAGCGTCGGTGACCGATCTCCAGCCGTCCTCGTCGCCGTAGCCGCGCAGTGACGACTGCACCTTGACGGGGAGGCAGAACGCCACCTCTCCGACACCACCCCAAATCGCCGCCCCTTGAGCCGACGACGCCCAGTCCCATCGCCGTCAATAGCCAATTTCGGCCAGGGGTAATTGAGTAGTTGAAAATGGAAGAAAATTGAAAGGGAAATTTATAGAAGGAAATTTGCAGTGATGATGGTGAAAAGTGACGGGAATTAAGAAGAAAAGACAAAGGAGGAGGGAAAAGAAAAGAAAAAGGTATTAATTATCTTAATTAATCCATAGCTGATTCAATTCTCATATTTAAATTATAATTAATAAACTTATAAAATCTGGTACATGTGCAAATATGTTGGGGGTGATTGTATCTTTGTAAATAAATATTAATTGAGTGTAAATATGTAATATAAAATAATAAGATAATATGGGGTGTAAATTCCTCGTTAAATAAATAATGGATGCCCTTAAATCATTCGTCCTTCAACAACAATTAATAGCATTCTTGCTGAAGACATTTCAGAGTGTGCGAATTCATTTAGACTCTGTAAACTTGTGTTTTGATCCTTTAATTAGTGTGTAATTCTTGTGCTTTATCAGCCAAAGTGGCTGTTGAGAAGAAGTATGTGTTTTGTTTCCCCGGGTAAATGGGGTCCCAACATTTGTATGTAAAGGACCGGCTTCGTATTATAGTCACTTAACTATTCAGTTGTACTCCTCCTTTGAATTAAGTGATATTTAGTTTGCTGTAAAAAAAAAAAACAAACTTCTCTAATGCAAAGTCAAGGAATAAATATCGAAAACAAAAGGTATTACTATATTACTACTCACCATCCCATATGTTTGCCATCAAAACATATTCTAACATAAGAAATCACATCAATGATCAGCCCAAACATATCTTCATCATAATTAATTAATTACCTCATAAAACTGCACATGCATGTACCTAAATCACTTAGATGGGCTACTTGTTATGGGCACATCAATCAGGCAATTTGAATAATAAGAATAACCACTCTCGTTCGAAGAAGATGACGTCGTCGAATAAGCCAAAGCGTATCTCGGCTTGTAAAGCCTCTCCTTTCTAGAAGAAGTAAACGGTGGTGATGATGATAACAGCTTGGCCCCAATGCCAATCTCGTTTTCAGCCACGTGCTTGCATTTCTCGTAAATCAGAACATCATCATACTTGGGAGCACGTTTTTCACGAAGATCATATGCCTCAACCCTGTTCAATGTAGATAGCTTCGAACGATAGACATGGTGAAGCTGTTTGAGGATTCTGGCTATTGGTGATAGAGTGTATTGAGGAAGCTTCGATCTTCTTTTCCTGAAAACTTTGTTGGGGTCCCAAATGGATAAGTTTTTCGACTCATAAAATGTGTGTTGACAATCTGCATTACAAAGTATAGTGACAAATAATATCAAAATCAATTCTAAATTTAACTCGAATTATTAAAAATGGTTAATTTACCGTATTCTTGATTTATCCGGATAGAAGTGGAGGTTTTCAAGCAAGTTGATCCACAGTAAAATTGATCATGAAATCCAATTTCACAGTGCTCTTCCTTCACATTCTCTTGTGACGACGAAGATTGATTATAATCACCGTGAACCATATTAACAGGGATTGCTAGCGGCTCGTATGGTAAATTCCCGAATATCGTGCCAATTTGACTGACAGTGAAAGTCATAATATTGTGCTGCACAATTGAGGTGGAGGTTGACTTTATCTTGTGATCATCAAAAGCTGGGTTTTCAGATGAACCGATTTTCGGCCCTTCATTAATATTTTGTTCATTTGATTTGCATGTGTGGCACATAGTTAGATGGGAAGTTCTCCAAGTACTTGATGAACCTGCTAGCATCATAATAAAACTATCAATAATAGTTACTACGTACTAAAAATGGTGCAAAAGGAACGACTCTAGCATGCACCTGAATTGGGTAGTACTAAATACTATTTGCAAACTCACAGGCACACGAAAGGTCTTCATCTTTAGCTAGAAATGAACAAACAACAGCTTTAGAATTAGTTGGTAATTTCTGTTTCTGGTTGTAGTTTTAATTGAATTTGGTGGCATATAAATAGTTCCCTTTGCCAATTTTATACACCAATCGAGTTACTTGCCATATTGTGATTTTCATTATATAGTAATTTTCGATGATTTCTTGAATTTACATTAAATTAGGCAAAATTTCATTTTTAGTCCACTATGCTGGTCATTCTCCGAAAAAGGTTCATCATATAAAGTGTCATCAATAATGGTCCAATAAGTTGTCACTTTAATCAAAACTCGTACAATATCCAACATAGTGTACTAAAAATGGCGATCACTTTTAGTACACTATATGGGTTTTTGTATGAATTTTGATGAAATTGACAACTTAGTGGACCATTTTTTATTATACCCTATATAATAGATATTTTTTGGAAAATGGCCAACATAGCGGACCATTTTTTAAATTTTGCCCTTTAAATTAAACATACGAAAGCTATAGCCTATAAGTATTTTAGTTTTATAAGAAATCCATAGTATTACGACCAAAAACATGGGTAAATTTTCAATTTGCTCCTCTATGTTGACCAATATACGAAATTTGTACATTAATTTGTCCCTTGCTAAATAGTTCGTTATATCATCAATTTTTTCACTTTTAGTACACTAATCTCGCTAGTCGAGACTAGGTTGCATGTGAATTGTGACATGGCAAGTGACGTGACAATTTCGGTCTTCTAACTTGACAACGTTTTCAATTTTGGTCCATTAAATTATCCCAGCTTTAATTTAAGTTCTTTAAGATGCAAGTTTAATCAATCTTGGTAAATTGACTACAATTGATTCTATACTTTCTAAATATTTTGTTGGTACGAATTATATTTAACTATAATTATTCAAAAAATATATATAATTCTTTCTAAAGATTTATAATTTTTTCATCTTTAACTTTTTTTATTAAATAATATATTTTTAATGAATAATTTGTATGTGGCGTATCAACAAATTATATCAATTCGTTATGCAATATTGAATTTTATTTTCTTCAATGAAAACTACCGTTTTTATGGTATTATTTATTCTAATAACTATCTTATATTTTTATGATAAATCTTTTTATAGCGAGTGATATTTTTTTACAATTTATTAATTAACAGTAACAATTTTATTTTTGTCACTTAAAAACACCATATTTATGACACTCTTAATTTTTATCACAAAATACATATTTTTATAACGATTTTGGCACAATTTTTAATTAAGAACAAATTTTACCACTTTATACCATCACTTGTGTGGGAGCACATGAGCTTAGATCCCCATGTTGGGTCTTGGTGTGATGGATCTTGGTCAATTGAAATTACTTTTTCCACAATAATATAAATTTTTTCCGACAAAATTCACCACTATAGGTCAATATAGGTTATTTTGTCTAAATTATAATTCCAACAGAATTGCATATTTCAACAAAAAAATTCTACGATAATACAATTCATCATTACTGCACTGAAATTGACATAAATTATTGTTTGTTGATAAAATAAAATTTATATTTGCTAGTTGTTAATTAATAAATAATAACAAAATTTAGTTTGTGTCGAAGAAAATTATTAATAAAATATATAGAAATAATTGTAGTGAGTGGACCAGATTGATAAAAATTACAACTTAGGCCTTGCTTGAATACAGATTATCTAATCACTTTTGTCTATACTAGTACGAATCCCGTGCGATGCACGGGTAAAAAATATTCTTTAATATTTATAAATTAAAAATACTCATTAAATAATATTTATAAATTAAAAATATAGAATCAATATGTAATACAACTTACCTATATTAATTTGTTGAAAATGTTGTATGAAATATAAATTGTGGAAAATTACATTAAATATGTCTATTTAAAATTGGTACATGACTCGTACGGTGCAAGTAACTAATAATAAATTATATTATATTCATTTCGAAATAGGTGTCATTTTAAAAATTTTATTCAAAAATTCGATTTGGCCACCATCTGATTCAAGTAAATACAAACCTTTATGTATAAAAATAATTTGATATGTTCCACGCACATTACAAACTATAGTATTCTTCATATTTTTCTCTCATTAATATCGAGTACAATGCTTAGCAATATAAAAAAAATATTGAGATGCAATTTTTTACCATAAGCGGGTATATTGGATCAATATATAGTATACCAAATAATTCGATTTCATACTTTATAGATAAAATACGAAAAATGATATTCAGTTTTACGAAAAAATTAATGCCTAGTGTACAAAGCAAAATTGAGACCCACATTTTTTATAGATAAAAATAAAAAAGACCCAAAAAAAATAATTATTAAAAAATAATTAAATAGAAATTGCCATTAATACAATTATTTTGGAATAATCTTATTAAAAAAATTATGATTGAATAAATCAACCAAATTTACTCAACTGTGTAATTAGAGCATCTTAAAAATATAAATTTTTATAATCTAATTATTTTTTAATTATCCACAAGTTAAGTAATTAAATACAAAAAAATAAATAAAAATTATTAAATAATACTTAAATAAAAACTGTAATTAACACAATTTTTTTATAATAGTTTTTGTAAATCGCATAATTGATTATTTTTTGTTGATATTTTCACAATTCCAGTAATTATTTGCAGATTGAATAAATGATTTGGATTTACACAATTTGCGTAAGTAAGGTATATTAAAAATGCATTTCACAAAAGAATTACACGAAAAATATAAAATATTTATTAAGAAATTAATTACACAATTCAGTTGGAAGAATTTTACCAAATCACATAATTGATATTGCAGACGAATTCACATGATTTGAGTAATTAAGGCATCTTAAACATGATTTTTTATGGCTTATATTATATCCTTAAATAATGAGCCGCAATTTCTATACGTGATTATTGAAATATACCATAAAATTTTAAAATAATTTCCTGAAATAGTAAATAGATTTTTTTTTGGAATGAAATAGTTACTATTTAAAAAATAATCAAACCTTTTTATATAGATATATAGATAGCTTTTTAACTCAAAATCTAAATCAAATTTAACTCAAGTCAACCTTTCTCAATACTAGTACGCACCTCGTGCGATGTACGAGACAAATATATTAAATGAGTTATTTTCACATCTTTGTCTGTTTAAGTCTAAAAAATAATAGGGTTATTATCTATTTTCTACCTCTTTTAATCAACACTAAGTCTAAAAAACAATAGGATTATTATAAGTTTTTTTCCACATCTTTTAACCAGCGTTGTTTTTTTAGCCAAAACATTAAATATGAACATGTTAGGGCTAGCTTGTAAAATAATTAATATATTATCTCACTAAAATATTTATACTAATAAAAATTTAATTTTAGCATATAAATTTATCCCTTGATATAAGAGAAAGTAATAGTTTTACTTATGATTGTTCACTATATAATATTTAACTATTATTTTATTATATAATAAAAATGAATACTGTTAAACAGTGTAGTAGAATTGTTTGAAAATTATATGAATAATTTTTTTTACAATATGGGTTTAATATCTTTTTATGATTTGATAATATAACTATAATATATTCTTAATGATATAATTAATATGAGATACGGATTTACATAATACTATGGATTTATTCCTTAATGCTAAGATATTGAATTAGGTAATATATGATTCACTAATTTATAATCTGTCTCTTTTTATATTGAAAATAATCATGTGATTGAGTAGAGATAACAATTATCTATAAATTCCTTCATTTAAGGAATAATTTTTAAATTGGTCCAAGTGTTGAATGCAGCTCGATTTTCTTGTAACTAAAATCAGAAGAGATTTGGAATTTCAAAGTTTCACTTCAAAATCACACGTAAATTCGGACTAATTTTTTTCATATTGAATTCACTCTGAAAAATGTAAGATTTATAAATTTATTTCGTAAATTTTAGTACGTAAAATTTTGGTTAAAAATATAATGATTATAAAATATGAATGATTGATCTATATAAATGTAACCCTAAATTATATATAATCATTTTATGTTTAGATCATTACCTAATAAATCTGAATGCAATATAATGAATCAAAAATATAATCTATGTGTAATAATAAAAAATCTGATCGATTATATATATATAATTAGTAATTTACGATTAATCTATGTGTAATAATAAAAAATCTGATTATAATGTCCCCAATCAATACTTAATAAATCTGAATGAGATTATTACGGTAAGTGAAATCATTTGTCTTCCTCAAAATATTTTATAATGATTATAAATATTCTAATACCGAAATAGTAATGGCATTTAATGGTGTTGACTTTTCTGGATACTAAATGTAGTAAATAGGATCCCTTTTTATATAAGTATAGATTATCAATATAATTAAATAATATTAAGCAGTCGTCTTCACACATCACATCAATTTTAATTATCCCATCAGCTTTAATTATATGTTATAATGTTAACTACTCATCATTTCCAATCACATTTCTCATACTTTTACATTAAATTAATCTTAATCATTATAGTTTAAATATTATTTTAATACAAACTCAAAATTAACCCAAACCTAATTCAATCAGCTTTTTTAAAATTAACTCTGGTTATTCCACAAATTCAATCGAACTAGAATAACTTATATCTAATCACCCCCTCAACATACTGAAAATTAAAGTTGAGACAACTTAGAGCATCTCCAATGCTCTAATGTTGTTGTAAAATAAATTTTGGCAAATGTCATTAAATTAAAAAGATTGTGAACTATGTAGGAAAGATATTAAGTTTACAACTATGAAATTAAAAAATTAT